CTGGGCAGCAGAGTCCCTGTGTGCCCCCTGCAGCTGGGCCTCAGCCACCTCCTCTCTCCACAGGCACATCCTTAAAGAAAAGCTGAAAGCCGGTGGCTGGTCCCAAGATGTCTACAGCCGGAAAAGCTGGAGCAGCAGCTCTGAGTCTGACCAGCTTTTAATGGGACATCCCCCCCTGAGCAGTTTTGAGCCTGCAGGCTAAGTCCTCCATCCACGGCCGATGGTTCAACCCCAGGGAAATCAGGTGGAATTGCTCAACAGAAGTCCAAGCGAGAGCTTCCAGGGTCAACTCTTCTGTACAAATATAAGGGACAGAGCTGGCACACCTGTGTTTGTGTGGTACCATCATCCCTGGCTGAGCTCCGTGCCTGGGTGCAGCCGTGGATGCCCACGGTGTGGGCAGGCAGGATCCAGGCTGGGGCTGGGGGAGCCCGTGGTGAGGGACCTTGGGCTGAGGGCACCTTTACTGCAGTGGGACCATCTGGGCCTGGGCCTCTCAGATACGACGCCCAGGAGAAGAGGGAAGCCATCAAGAGCATTTTCAGGGCCACAGCCTGACAAACAATATCTGGAGGCAAAGCAGAAGTCCTTGCTAATTAACAGGCACTTGATGGGAGCTAACTGATGGGTAATCACCAATCCTGGGTGCTGAGTCCCCTGTTCAAGGCTTTGACTGCCTGGGGAGTAACTCAGCTGTGATCACCCACTGCTTGAATGGAGCATTGAGAGGGCAGCCCGGGTAACACCCTGGGATCTGACAAATTTGCAGAACACATTTGCCAGGGTTTTCAGTAGTGGGTTGCCTTGGAAAAATAAGGAATGGGACTGGACTGCGCTCCATACAGAAGCCCTTCATGGACGGATTCACTGCAGAACAGCTCTAGAGAGCACCAACAATCCAGGGGCAACCACACACTCAACTTCCCAGGTCAAAACACTCGGTGTTGCTGGGCTGGGGGTCCCCATATGGCAGGAGGGAATTTGGAGTCCCCCGTAAGGTGGGACTGGTGTCCCTCAGGAGGCACCCAGGGATATTTTGGGCTGTCTTCTATGGTGTTCAGGGGGCTGAGGTCCCCCATAAGACTTGCAGGGAGCTGAGGACTGGGATGAGGAACATGGCGGGGGTGTTGGGTTTTCCTCTAAAGAGGGCAGGGTGTTTGGAATCCTTCATAAGCCATGTAGGGGGCTGTCACTCCCCATGAGGTTCTCAGGGGTCTGGGGCCTCTTTTGGGGTGTGCAGGTGCTTAGGGAGCCCAATAACGTTTGCAGAGGGCTGAGCTCCAGGCTCTCTGCTCTGGGGCCCAGTAGGGCCTTTCCTGGGACAGTCTGGCCGGGCCAGAGACCCACGTGGCGAAGGGGCCGCGGGGCAGCCTGACGAGCTGGGGGGAGGCACAACAAGGGGCCTCTTCGCTGAGCCCTTGGCTGGAGTCAAACACACACCTACAGCCCCGGCGCTTCGCCAGGGCACAGGAGGCACTGCGGGGGTACAGCTGAGCCCGTGGCTTCTCACACCAGCGGCAGCCTGGCACTGTTAGTTCCGAGGCCACGCCTTAGATGGCACTGACCATGGCCCACAAGCTGGGAAGGTCTTGAGGGGCAGAGACTTCCAACGCTTCTCCCCGGGAAGAGT